TATCGTCCCCAAATGTAAAGGTATAGTTGACCCAAAAACTTTAAATATTTCAGTACTGGGGTCCAAATAACATTCATTGTATGGACAAAAAAAAACATTTTTCAAAATATCTTCTCCACATGTTCTTCTAGAAGAAAGAAGTCATATGGGTTTGAAACGACATGAGGGCGAGTAAATGATGACTGAATTTTTATTTTTTTAACATAAACATGTAATAGGGGTTCACATACTTCCTCTGTGAGGTTTTCACATACATACTGGTGTATCAGATGCATAAAAGTTGTCTCTTTTTCTCAAGTTCTCACTCACATTATACTCATTCAAATGAAAGACTTGTGTAATTAAACTGATAAAGTACCACTGTGCTTCAAAAAACTATTTTTATAGCCAGCGCTCATGGAGAAGGTCTGACCTTTCAGGTAGCATCTTCAATTATCAAGAACTCATTTAATTTCACCCACTTCTACTGCCAAAAGCTTTGTACTCATGTCTGAGCATTGTTATTGTTAGCTACAGTCTTTCAGCTCTGCTGTGTTTGTCCTTTCAGCCAACTGTAATAGTCCTTCCACATCTAGCACTCTCCAGTGGCATTAAGACCGGATTGGCCTCCAAAATGAGGGTCAGAGTTCAGCGTACAGGTTTGCAGTGGAGTGCGCTAGTTAGAGTTGTGTGTTGTGTTGTGGCTCGCCAGGGCTTTTCCGTTTTTCCAGGGCTTAGCCATGCTTCAAAACCCTTCCTCAACGAGCCACGGGCACCTGGCACCACTTCTCACGTCGCCTCTTCAGCCTGATTACTGCGATAGAAGAGACCCTCGACGATCGGTCTGCTCCTGCGAGCACAAAGCGCTAACTACCTGTCTGCACTACAGCCAATCACCTCACCACGCAAATGCCGAAGCGGTTTTCCAGGTCTTTATAAGACAACAGCTTTATGACGTCCATCAATCTCTTGCTCTGATTATCAGGTGTAATGCATTTTTAATTGCACGGGGAAAAGTGAAAATGGCTTCACTAGTGTTTTCTATATGTCAGCCTCTATCAGCGGTGGACAGATGCGGCGTTAGGCTGTTTATTTATTTATTTTGTCGTCTGTGACACAAAAGTGCCATGCATCGCTCATTGTCTTTCTGTGCTCAGATTGAGCACCATGCTAAAAATGGCTTGAGACAAAGCGTTTCTCCTCGCCGCACGATCTGCTAGCGCTTGCACAAAGACGCAGAGAGACGGGCGGACTGCATAATGTGTTTGTCAGCGGGCCGATGAGTCAGCCGGAGAATAAACGCCCGTCCGGGCTGACGTTTCACCTGACGCTGTGCTTCTCGGACTTCGCGGTTAGCTTAGTGCAAACACAAGACAAGTCAAAGGAGCTTGATTGTGAGCTTGAAAATAGGACTTATGTTTAGTTTTTGTGAACCATTTCTATTAAACAGAAGTTTTTGAATATGTAGGCACAATATAAAAGAAAATCTACAATAAAAAGTTTGCATATATGTTTTTGTTGAGTGTCAAATTTGATACATCAGGCGTTTATATATCATACAGTTTGATATTGGAGAATATGGAGCTCAAACTTTCAAGGAAAAAAACATGCACAAAAAGTTAAAATATGAAATTTGGTAGAGATGCTGATATTTATATGTCCAGAAAGTAAGATGAAATTCTGATTCTAATGTAAATCAATGAGATCTTTATAACAGTATAGCAGCTACTTACATTAAATGCATTTAAATATCAGTTTTCACTATATATTTATATATATATATATATATTCAAAGCTCTGTAGATTCAAAACACATAATACAATGCAATACAGTAATGAATGAAAGATGAACAAATAAACATTCCTCAAAAGCATAAATAAGTAAACTAAGTTTCTTCAGTCTAGTAAGTGTTCATCTTGAAATATTACTAACAATAGAAAAGTTATTCTTACATTTACTTTATAAAATCAGTAAAGATTTCACAGCAAAAAGACACGTGAACCACGAGCTGAAGGTGGACATTTGTAAAAAATAAAAAATAAAAAAAAAAAGGTATAAAGACGTCTCACTTGTTAAATAGTGTAAACTATCAATCAGACGACAGAAGGCATGTATTAGATTGTGTACGACAGGTTTTTCATGTATCATATGTGCTACAGTAAACTTCATAGGCTAAGTTGCTGTGTTGTTTAGCTGTAAACCACCTTCGGGTTGGCTTATGAACTATATTACTTTATTAATGCTGTCTTATAAAAGCAACTAACCACTTGAGTCTGGTGAAACCATCGGTAAGACTTCATATTGTGCCTTTAATCATGATAAAATCACCGTAACTCACAGCCTTTATAGCTTATTGTTTTATTTTAGCAATTTAAATAAATTAATATCAGCACTGACTAGTCTTGTTTTGTACTTTTACTAGGTACATTCAGGGAGCTTCTTCTCCAAAGGATATGGTCATCATCGTAGACGTGTAAGTATCCTCTTGACCACACATACACACTCTCCATCTGTCTCTCTGTGTGTCTCATATGCACTGCATTAACACACACTGTCATCTGTGTTGATAAATGTGTTGTTTATGATGCTATAACACCAGTGTGGTGCTCTACTGCCACCTGTCAGCTGAGAAGAACATTATTCCATCTTATTAACCTCATGCCTCAACATCAAAATGCTACCGTGTTCCCCCAAATATGACTTAGAGGTTATATGCAATGAAAAATGGCATTACTGTTGCCGATATCTGAGCTGCTGGTGGAGAATTTAAAGCGTCCTGCGACTCTGATCTTATCTGACCTTTAAAATGCATAATCTAAAAAACACTTTTGCATCATACATAAACAGATGTGTTTACAGATGCAGTTATTGAAAGGTATGCATTGCATTTTTTTGAGTTCATAGAATTGTAATTTTAGCAATAATGAAATGCATTATCAAAATAATCGTTTTGTTGTTAAATGCCATGTTTAGTGAATCCTCCTTCCTTTGAAATGTTTTAGTTATCAAACCTTAAGTGTTGTGCATTTAGAGTCATTAGTAACACTGCTGCATAGTTTAACAAATAAGTGATTGCCTCAATCATACATCCATTATGTGCATAATCGTCAAACAAAAAAAAGCTTTAATATTCTTAAGTAAACCTCTCAAGAAAAACTGCTTAATGGAGGTTAATTGTCACTCGTTGGCAATCGTCCATAACCTTAAATAGATACCGATATCTAATTAAAAAATACACCAATTGCAGCTGTTGCTTTGCCAAAGCAATCTCATGCCAATCAAGAGCACCACCGCGCTGACCGTTTCTGACAATCTTAGACTAATCTCATTGTGACAACTGGAAGCATGAGACAATAGTGCTGTCACCAGGGGGGTTTTTTTCCCAGTGTGCTCGGCTTTATTTATTAAACCTTCTAACTCTGGAAGCCAAATTACACATGAACTCGTGCTCTGTGATTGCTTTTTCAATAGCTGCTGTAGGCTATTAATAAATCCAATTTGCAGCATAGAATTCAAATGTACTTTGTTTTTGAAAATCGACTGTCTCCATTCTGTTTGTGAAGATGGCGCTTTTTAATGTGCCGTCTACGATTTACTTTTGATGGACGGAACGGGGGAGACACTTAGCAACAGCTTCTGCTTGACAACCGCAGTTTTGGGCTTGTGTTTCTGTGCAGTGCTGTTTTGAGACATGACTGGTTTGTTAGATAAATGTTGTAATGTAGTAACGTTTGCGTTCTGTGTGTGTGATGTATTTGATGTGTGATTTCTGTGTGTTTGTAGGAGCGGTAGTGTCAGCGGACTGACCCTGAAGCTGATGAAAACCTCTGTCATCGAGATGCTGGACACACTTTCTGATGACGACTACATAAATGTGGCTCGGGTAGGTTTTATGAATAGTATCAACAAATAATGGCATAGTCCACATTTCATATATATTGTATATACATTATAATTTTATGATCATTACTGTTTTATCTTATTATTATAAATAATTATATATAGAAATATTTATTCATATTTAACAATTATATAAAGTAATACTAATAAAATATTTGTATTATTAGTATTACATATATATATATATATATATATATATATATTGATTTTTGAAGTGAGGGATATGTTATATGTGTGTGTTGTTGTACATACACGTATATGTAGTTTTTTTTTTTTCCTAATCCTGGCTCTGAAAGCATAAAATTAGCATCATAATCTGAGCCGGAACACAGCTCATTCTACAGCCCGCTGAAGAAAAGCAGTCTTAGACCACATTAGAGTCACTATGTGTGTTTATTGCTGTTTACCTCCAGACGCCTAGAGTATCATCAAATCAAAATGGACCCTTTTGGCTTTTTTAAAGGGGCATTTCAGCCAAAAATTACAATTCGGTTTGTGTTATGCATCCTTGTTTCTCTGTGGAACATAAAAAGAGAGATTCAAACTCTGCTGGTCACTCTTTTCCATGCAGATGCTATAGCAATAGCTTAAAAAAAATGGACTGTAAAAGTAGCCCATAATAGTTTTGTGTGATAAACAGACTGAAATATAAGTCATTTTTTTGCTGATAATCTTCCTTACAATGAGCTGCGGAATCACTGAGTCAGTGATTTGAACTCAAGAACCGAATCAGTCCGACTCAAAAGAATGATTCGTTCATGAACATGAATCAGGCATTGGTAAATTTTCTCATGAAGTCTCAATTTGCTCTTCCTTTAATCCTGTCTCTATCAAGGAAGAGTAAAAGACATCTCAAAGGGATTTTTCTTTCCTATAGGCAGTTTTAGGATGCCATTTCTCTTTTCATTTTTGTTTGCATTGGCATTTTCTTTCCTCCACACCTGCGGTGTGGAACCTTGTAATCAAGACAGCCGGATGTATCTCAGATTTTCACAGCTGTGCTTTCTCACACACACACACACACACACACACATAAATGCTTTATGCTGAGTTCTGTGCATTCAGTAAGTAAAGCTGTACTGATGCGACAGGTATTTATGGAATCTTGTTTCCGCCATGAGATAAAAAAAATAAAAACGGTAATTGCAACTTTTTATCTCACAGTTCAAACTTTTTCTTGCATTTCTGAGGAAAAAAGTCAGAATTGTGGGATATAAACTCAGAATTATGAGTTAAAAAGTTGCAATTACCTTTTTTTATCCTGTGGTGGAAACAAGCTTCCAAAGATATTAATTGTGTCAAAAAAAAAAAAAAAAAAACAATCAGTAGTACTAGCGTACATTGTCATTATGTCAGATTGAGTAAGACCTATCAGACTGCGCCATCTAGAGTTTCATGACAGAAAAAAAAAAAAAAAAGACAATCAGTAGTACTAGCGTACATTGATTTTGTTTTTTGTTTTATTTTTGTTTTGTTTTAAGTGTAAATCTAAAAAAAGAATTGTGGGATCTGTGTTTAAAACGAAAATTATAAAATAAAATGATAAATAAATCAATTTAAAATGAATGAAATGAAACTATTTTCCACTGAGGTTAGAAAAATAAAGTTAATTGAGGATATATATTCATGTCATATCTTATACAATTTTGCTTCTCAGGAAAGAAGAATTTTATTTTAAGGATGTTAATATATTTTTTTCCTGGAAGACAAGACAAAATGCATTTATTTGTGTATGCTTTCAGTAAAGAAGTGTGCTATTTCTTTTTCACTTGACAGATGATAAAATGGACAAAAAACTAGTAACCACCCAGAACACCCTAGCAACCACATAGCAACACCTTGTCAACCATTCACGACCCTTTAGCCTAACAGCAGTGTGTTTTGCATGGTCAAAACAGACTCGTATGTAAAGATGTTCCGATTTGAGCACTATTAAACCATCCAGATGATTAGTGTTGTGAAATAGATTTTAAATAGATTTCAAGTTTCATCTGAGTTTATTCATCTGCAGTGGAAGCAAATTATGAATTGCGAGAGAAATCAATCAGGTGTAAGTGACTCCATTAGCGAGTGTTACCAGCAGAAATGATGATGCTGTGAGATCTAATGGAGATGAATAATGAAGCTTTTAATGGACTTGCTGAAGCAGCTGCTGTCTGTCTCTCTGTCTGTCTCTCTGTCAGTTCAATGAGAAAGCGTACGCTGTGGTGCCGTGCTTCACAACGCTGGTCCAAGCCAACATAAAAAACAAGAAGATCTTTAAAGAGGCTGTGATGAACATGCAAGCAAAGGGGACGACAGACTATAAGACGGGCTTTCAGTTTGCCTTTGACCAGCTGTTAAACGTAAGACACACACACTCATGTTTACCTAGTTATCTACATGAAGATGCACTGGAATTTTGCATTCAAGTTTTTAAATAAAGTTAATTATAATGACTACAGACTAACCCTAACCTACAGAAGTCCTAAGAGGCCATGCATTATTTTTTTTCTCTTTGTTTTCTTGTGATGTTTAATTAATTATCTTTAATTTGATGTGCTAGATCACTGACAGACAAGTAAGTTCCGTTTTAATAAACTAACTAAACTATCTAAAGTTTGGGGAGAAGTCTCACCAGGGCTGCATTTATTTGATCAAAAATACAGCATAAAGAGCAATATTGTAAAATATTATTACAATTTAAAATAACCGGCTTCTATTTGAATATATTTTAAAATGTAATTTATTCATGTGATGCAAAGCTGAATTTTGATACATTTCATTCATGATTCTTTGATGAAAAGTTCAAAAGAACAACATTCATTTGAAATAGAAATCTTGTGTAATATTATAAATATCTTTACTGCCACTTTTGATCAACTTAATGCATCCTTGCTGAATAAAATTGTTCATGTCTTTCAAAAAAATGTTTAATTGTGCTTAGAAATGGTATGAAGTCCAGAAAATTTTGAAATTGTAAACTCCACAAATAAATAAATAGACTAGAGAAATATAGGAGAAAATATTTTAGTCGCAATCTTGAAATCGCAGCTTTTTCAATGTTGAGAAAATCCTCTTTAGGCATGCATACTAACTCAAATGTTAAGTAAAACTATAGATATATATTTTTAGAATATAAAAAATATGATTTACTTCAGCTATGAATCATTTTACCTTTGAGAAGATCCCTGGATGTTCCCAAAGAGAGTTTTTTTTTTGTTGCTAGATTTAGCTGGATTTGGCTTAGTTAAATTTGTTAATGCCAAAACATCCTCTTACCAACTCAGCGGAAAATTGTATTGCTCAGATGTTGCCTTTTCAGAGTGGTTCAGAGATTTAACAGAGTTCTCAGTTACATTTAATTTAAGTGTCAGCCTTTTCTCATATTTCTGAGCAATAAAAACAGACAAATGAGGCGATAGTTGACATTCAGTAAGCTTTAAAATGATCTTGCTAAAAGAATCTGAGGAGAAATGTTTGAGATCACAATAAATATGACCATGCAGAAGCGTGTTGATGGAGTGTACAATGATGTGAGATGTGTTTTTTGTTTTGGCTGACTGCTGCTGACAGATCGTGACGGTGTGATTGATGAGATACAGACGAATCTGTATTCTCTTCCGACTGAAGAGACTCGTTCTTTCTGACTTTCTCTTTCACTTTCGCTCTCAGATCCACAAGCGCCAAGGCATTTTAATTTTTCTGCCCGCTGCCTCCTCATAGGCCGAGAAGAGAGCACTGTAAATTTGTAATTGCAGCAGTATTATTTATCTTTATTAGAATCTTGTCAGAGTGATGTGGTGTAGACCGAATGTCAATGACAGCTGTGATTGGACGGGATAGGGAGAGGGGACTTTTGGCTAACTCATCAGAGATAGGACAGTCGCCGGCAGCTGGCACAAAAGCAGACGTATGATTAGAGGAACAGACGTGCCCGCACACACCCACACATGGATAAGTGCTCGGACACATGTGCCGGTGCTCTGCCAAATGAGACACTGTTATAGCCTAGGTCATTTGTGTAGTGGATTGATTCAAGCAGGCCTGAAACGAATTCTGTGAAAATGTCATATTTTGGATGGATGCCAAGGCTTTTTAGGTCGGGTAGAATCTGCGATCTCTAATCTAGTTCGTTTGCTGGCTTCTATGACTGCAATACACTGTGTTTTCCATTAACTGGCAACCTAGGGTGTCAAAATCCTATTGGGTAATCTGACAGTGGGCGGAGCCACACAGAGCAAAACAAAAACAGACATTCCGACACAGAACACACTTTTTAAAGTAGAATAACTGTCTATAGCATTGTTTTTCGGAGACTACCGAACTGAATAGTGGTTAATGATGTATTTAAACACGTATCAGATTTTTTTTTCTATATATGTGGTTCAAGAAATCACAGAGTACGTTTTGACTATTTAGTGTTGTCAGCTCTTGCTAAAAAACATAAATAAAAATAAACAAATAAGAACAAACCCATAATAAACAAAAACCTAAATGTGTTATCTTGGAAATTAGCCACATGCCAAAATATAGCGACATTACTAAAACATTATTTTTTTTTTTATTTTTTTTTTTTATATATTTATTGAACATTTTCCAACTTAAACAAAACACACATGAATATAAACCATAATCATAATAAAAAATAAATAATAATAATAAATACATTAAAAAAAAATGAAAAAAAAAATGGGTGAGTCGGCAAAATAAGTAAGAGCAGACTTATCCTAGGCCACTAAAAAGGAAAAGAAAAATTAGATACTCAAATTAAATGGATAACCACATTAAATACATATTGGTAGTACAATACAAGTTCAAAATCTTATGCACTCACTTGGGGTAAATGAATAGGAAAACTCTTCAACAGGATAGTTGACAGATCAATCCCTAGATTATTGATATAAGGCTTCCAGACATTATAAAACTGACCCGGCTGACCATTAACTAAACACGTTAAATATTCCAATGGGATTAGTTCCATTAAAATCTTGTGCCATCCAGATATAGTCAGAGTCTTATCACTTATCCATCTCAGTAATATATTTTTCCTGGCTGCAAATGTGAGAAGATTGTAAAGTCTTTTTTCATTTGATAAAATCAAAGCTTTATCCGGCAAACCAAGGATCAACAATAGAGGATCCATAACCAACTCCTTATCAAAAATATTACTCATTTCAGATACAATCTTGGCCCAGTATATCTGTAACTGATTACATGACCAAAGACAGTGAGTGAGAGTGCCAACTTGTGTTTTGCACTTGAGGCATAAAGGTGAAAGGGTATTGTTAAATGCATGTCTACGGTTTGGTGAAATATGCATTCTGTGTAGAATTTTAAATTGTATTGCCTTGGCACGGTTGTCTCGATGAAAAGGATTTTTTAAGATAAATAACCGAGACTAATCACGCAGCTCGCAAAACGCGTGTTCTCTCTACGGCGCCATCTTGCATCCCCTCACTAAAACATTATCAACTTAAAATAAACAAGATCGCTTTATGAGCCAAGCCCAAAGACACATAATAAGCATTGCTTATAATAAATGGACATGACAAGCCTTCAAGAACGGGCTCTGCCAAACATAAACAAAACCATGGCTCTGTCAACGGTGGTTTAGTTGAAATCGCCAAACATAACGAGTCTTTGGTTGCTGTAATATGACGCCAGAATGGTACTATGGTTACCATGTGTCAATCATCACAGTTTCGGGAGTGACTGTTTTAAATGCACACACAAAACGATAATTTAGAGGATTCACTCCTGTGTTTAAATGTGGTTGTCACTCCTGAAACGTTACAGTGTTATTTGGCCATTATTATTAAATGATGCATTGCAAGGATAGAATAAAAGCACAAGGGTTTTCACAAACAAAAACATCTGTTCATAAAGGCAGGTCCAGTGAGTTTCAAACTGACCTGGCACTTTTGACACCCTCGAAACGAATCTTTTGCATTCCTGTTTCTGTTTCTCACAGGAGACCAGCGCTCCGAGAGCAAACTGCAATAAGATGATAATGATGTTCACAGACGGCGGCGAGGATCGCGCTCAGGACATCTTTGAGAAGTACAACTGGCCAAACAAAACAGTGAGTCGAGGCGATCCGATTCAATACTGGTGTTTCCATCTGTGTGGTAATGACCTTCCAGTAACAAGCAGCTTTTCTGTCCTTCCTTAAAAAAAAAAAAAAAAGCGTGTGACACAACAAAATCACAGTCAATCAAAATATTTAGATGTTTAGCTGTGTGGAGCAAGATTTCAGACCAAAGAGATAACAACGAAGCCGTGGCATCATAAATCAGATGTCATTCCAATATAAAACTGCAAATATATTTTCACAAAAACAGATTTGAAGTGATAAAACAATACATATGCTGTTAAATGAAATCAGTTGAGGGTCCAAAGATTTTAAGGAACAACTCTGTATTTTAAGATCCTTTTGCTACAAAGATTATGTGATCTAATAAACCGTCTTCCATCCGCAGGTGAGAGTTTTCACATTCTCGGTGGGGCAGCACAACTATGACGTCACTCCTCTGCAGTGGATCGCCTGCGCCAACAAGGGTAAGAGAGTGAGCATGTGTAGATTTGGTTAAATCTGAACTTTTCAGCTGTTCAACTGCATCTGTATTTTTTAGGTTAAGGATTGTTGTTAGGCACAATTTGATGTATCATGACTAGAACACCTAGTAGAAGTACCCTAGAAACAGTTTATGTTAAGAAACACCTCGGAAAGCACATAGCAACATCATAGCAACTTGCAAAAAAACAAACAAAAAAAAATGCTCAGCCCAACAGCCTAACAAGTGCATCGCAACACCCTAGAAACCACATAGCAACATGTTTATAATGTAAAGTACACCTTGGCAAACACATAGCAGACCCTAGAGACCAGCCAGAACACTGTAACATTGTGGCGGTAAACATCAAGTCAAGTCAAGTCACCTTTATTTGTATAGCGCTTTATACAATACTGATTGTGTCAAAGCAGCTTTACAGTGTCAAACAGGACAATAGTGTGTCAAATCACTCAAATTTTCTTCAGAAACTTACTTCACTTTTCTTCAGTTACATTTAGTAGTGGCTATTGCACAACAGCTCAGAATGTGACTCGTCCAATCAGATTTTAAAGAAATAGTTCACCCGAAAATGAAACTTTGTTTACCCTCAGGCCATCCAAGATGTAGGTTACTTTTTTTCTTCAGTAGAACAGTAAAGAAGATTTTTAGCTGAAACCGTGGTCCTTGGTGATTCATGCCAGTAAGTGGCTGACCATTTTTGAGAATTAAAAAAAAGCACATCAAGGCACACAAAATGAATATGCATGGCTCCTGATTATATATTGAGGTCTTTTGAAGCGAAACAATTGGTCTGTGCAAGAAGCTGAACATTAATTACAACATTATTACCTGTTATCCAGAGCCTCAGGCAAACCGTCTGGAGTGATGTCCGGTTCGCAAACAAATTTTTCTTTTGAACTGATTCGTTTTATGCCTAGTTCACACTACAGTATTTTAAGTTAACGAGCTCATCAGCGGGTGATCAGTGCTCGGCAATCTTTGTGTGTGAACTACTCAACGACACATCAAAGAGGCTCGCTGACACGTCACTGACGCCAAACAAATATCTAGCATGCTAAATATCTGGACTGGTCAGCCGACTCGACATTACGTCGTGTCAGGTGTCGTGACGAGCTACAGCCAATGAGAGAGCAAGGCATGGGTTGAGGTCAGCGGAAGAAAAACGGCAGCAGCAACACGGCTTTAAGGAAAGTGTGGACACAAGAAATGGAGCTAATTTTTTCATCACGCAAACAGCTTGCAGCACTAATTTCGTCCCGACGTCCATTTTGAAATAAACAACTCCTGTTTCACTTGTTGTTTCGCGTCATTCCTGTTCAACTTCTCGCGTGTGATTTACGCAGTGTCGCGTAGTGTGAACACCACAACGACCTCAAGACAGCCAAGAAGTCTTGTAGTCTGAACAGCACAGCGATCTGCCGACGTTTTAAGTCGTGTAGTGTGAACTAGGCTTTAGTGAACTAGTTGAATCAGTTCACCAAGTCGGACTGAATTGTCTGAAACAGTTTGCGCCTCAAGCAGCTCAGATCTACAAAGAAACTCAATCAAAACTCACTTTTGGATGTGCCAGACAGTCACTCCAACTCGAAATGAGTCAAAATACTGTTGTATATGATCCTATGATGATTGAACTCATTCAGCGCTCCATTTCCTCCAACAGTCACTGAACTGAGGAAGCAGTCCAACGCTGATATGCGCATGCGTGAACCGAGCACTTGAATGAAGGCGCCAAATGAACGTTTTTATGGCTTCTCATTGTTTATGTAAAAGGTGAGCTGGTGAAGTCTATTCACTGACGCTGATATGCGCATGCGTGAACCGAGCACTTGAATGAAGGCGCCAAATGAACGTTTTTATGGTTTCTCATTGTTTATGTAAAAGGTGAGCTGGTGAAGTCTATTCACTTTATATGCTTTAAGCATGTGATACATCCATGTTTCACATCATTATTGGGTGCTTTAACAATATAATTGTGTATACATTACGTCATTGTGTGATTACGTGAATGAACTAGTGAATTGAACCAGTTCATTGAAACGAACTGTTCGAAAGATCCAGTTCACGGAAAAGAATTGGCCCATCGGCTGAGGCTCTGGATTACAGGTAATAATGTCATAAATAATGTACAGTTTCTTGCACAGACCGATCAGTTCGCTTCATGAGACCTCGATATATCATCAGGAGCCACGGGAATTCATTTTATGTTCCTTGATATGCTTTTTTTATTCTCAAAGACAGGCAGCCGCTGACTTGCATTTTATGAATCACCAAGGACCCCAGTTTCAGCTAAAAATCTTCTTTACTGTTGTATTCAAGAAATTCTTGGATGACCTGAAGGTGAGGAAATGAACAGCATTTTGGGGTAAACGATCCCTTTAAAGCCAAAACTGTCCATTTTGTAAAATCACTAAGAGCTTACATGTAATCCTGGTCAACAGCGCTCGAGTAATATTGACCTATCTGACCTAACAAGTTAATTCCAGGCCTGTAGCGCAAACACTCTCCCTCTCAACTCTGTCTTAACAATCATCCCTCTCCAGCTCTCTGATTAGTTAATAACAAACAGTGGCAGAACACTTCAGAGACCCCCGCCGCCCTCCCTTCCTTCTAATTAATTAGCTGAAGAGGAACTGCCGTCGCAGCGATAACCACGTCTGCAACTTCTCTGCGTCTCCAGCCAAAAGCACTTCCACTTAAGGATTAGCCGTCTGTGCGGCCGTGTTCTCCGCTGTAATGACTGGCAGTGAGGGGACGGAGTCTGGCACAGCAAGCAAGACGCTTTTCTCAGCGGACTCCATCTTCACCGCAGGCTTTCATTTCACTCGCCGATATCACAAAGCGGCAGAGGAACGCCCCTGACACCCTCACAAAGCCCACATCCACGTCCGCTTCTCTCCCTTTGCTGTAGAATATGTGTTCGACAGCGTATCTGACTGAAAGCATTCGCAGCCGCTGTTAGGTTCGTTCAAAAAGCAATGGTAGCATGCATACACAACGTTTCCTCCTCTGAACATGCACGGAGCACTCTTTGACGAGCTTGTTAAGACGCGGATTGCATTGGATTGTCTGCGTCTTATTGTTTTGTTGTACATGTCGCCCGTGCGGCGGAGACAAATGGATTCAGCGTTTTGTAATCATGACCAAGTCAAGGGATCAGACTGGCGGCAACAATGAGAGACATGTTTGTTTGACACGGCTTAGCGTGTGTTGTCACTCCACCGGCTGTCTCTCAGCGAGCTCGTTCACACTCTGCTGACACAAACAGAGTCTCGTATGGCCGCCGCTGAATCGGAGCCAATTCCCAGTCTCTTTGATTCCCGGCGACTCGCATTGATTTGATTAGATTCTTTCTTGCGTGCTGAGTGGTTTGACCCTCAGACATATTCTGAACACTTTTTTTTTTAGTTTTAGGTTTTATACTCTAATTCTCTTGACTTTGATGCGCTTTTAAAGACTTTAAAATTATTTCTGATTCATTAACTGAACTAGATTTGTCTTCCTTATCTGCAGTTGTTTTAGGGGCCGCTGCCTTCGTAAAGAGACGTTACGGGTTCAACACAGGTTAAGCTTATTCTAATACAACATTTGTGATATGATGGCAGTTACCACAGAAAATCATTTTTATTCGTCCCACTGTTTTTGGGGACATTTTTGAGTATAAACCTATTAAAATGATCAGAAAAATTTATTTTGTTTGAAAAGTTAGAGAAAGGGGAAAATGTTTTTAAAAAGGCAAAATATATTATATTATAAATACATTATATTAATTTCTTAAATAACTATTTATTAAATATTTAATGAATGTTTGTTATTTTTACACAGTATTTATTCATCAATGAATATTTATTAAAGGAAAAATTTGTCAAAGAAAAATGAATATTTATTAATATATTTTCAGTTTTGACTTTCGGCTCAAATGAGCGACAGAATCTGACTGAAATTGTTTAATGACCTTTACAGCAATAACAGCACACTGAGTGAAGGCTGAACTGAATTCATGTTCAGGCAAATGATTTCAACCACGTTTGTGTTTTCATCCCACAGATAATTAGAAAAACACATGGTACCTGTTTAGAAAATATGCGCATTCAAAACTATTGCATCGAAAAAAAATCAGTCTATCTGTATTATCGACCTAAAATGGCTATGTAACAACATTTGTAGATCGGGAAGAAGGAGGCGGGAAGAAGGAACGGGAACCGGCGAACATTCAAACAAAACTTTAATAATAAAATAAACACAAAATGGCTGGCCAGCCCCTCGCGGACGACTGTCGCACACAAACAGAACCAAAACACAAAATAAAGTCCAGGCCTGGTCCTCTCTCGTCCACCACTGTCGTCACTCCTCCTTTTATCCTTCCGGAGCTCCTCCGTGGGACTCGAGACCGGTGTTTTATTGATTCTGATGAATTTGTGTAAATGTAGATTCAGATTAATGAGGATTATATAAATCTGTTTTATTGTAACACCGGTTTTTGTGTTTTTTCGGTATGTAACAAAAACACTAAACATGTTTACAATGAATTATTCTCACGTCTTAATGTTAGTTATGAACATCTCAGTGTGTTTTATGCTATGGCATACATACAGTAGTTTGATTTTTAATGCATCATGGCAAATTCACAAATACACAAAAAAGTCACTATCTAATATCTAATCTAATACTTTAACATGTAAAATATGTAAGCATTGATTTCTATGTGAGTGTGTTGAGAGAAAATGGCTGTAAGTTTGAAGTGGCAGTCTGAAGTTTGTTGACACTAAACACTTTGAGGACGGCACCTCAAATGTTGTGCTCTGTTCAGACTCTCTTGTGTCTAATAGTGTGTTGAGCAGGCCATACTGACCTTGTCTGTGTGTCCACTCTCTCAATAATCAGCTTCTGAATACTTAACGAGGCACACAAATCAAACCGCTGCACGGCCCAGTCTCTGGCTAACACATGCATAGCACTTGGTCAGTCTGTCTGCATGCTGAAATATAATGCGTGTTGCTAAACTAACAACTAAACATGTTCATAATCACAACAAAATAGCGTACAACTGGATGAAATAATGTGTTTTTAAATGAGAAGGAACTGTTTTCTATCAATTGTTGAGTAAATTACATTTCAATCATGACAACTCTTGGAAGATTTTAGCATGGTGATGGATATGACAATGTTAATGTATTTGGTCTTGGCGGAACAGATCTGCTACGCTGCTGCTGAATTGCTGCTGCTGTTGGTTATTGCTGTAGTTGTAGATTATTGCTGCTGCTGCAAGCAAGTACTGGAACTTGCTACTTCCAATGCATACAGCGATACGGTGCCGTGAGTATTTAAGACATGCTGCTGCTTCACAAATACCATATAAAATAACCCATAGCAGATCTATACAGGTGGAGCTGGGGAAGGTGGACGGTTTCAGAGAAACTCTGAAAGTGCGCTGCAGG